CATTTCAAGGATTTCTAACAATCTTCACTGAACAGAGTTTGTGCTGGTAAAAACTGATAAAATAAATTGATAATAATAATAACAACAACAACTTTATTTTTGTACCCCGCCTCCATTGCCCCAAAGGGACTCGGGGCAGCTTACATATGGCACTATGTGCCTAAAACAATGCGTAAAATAAACACCCAATATAATACAAGATAAAACCAATAGCATATAAAACATCATTTAAGCTCAAAACAGTGCTCAATAACTTATGAGAACCGCTGTAAAGCATGGCCAACTGTAACTATAACAGATGGAATTAGTATTGTTAACACTTGGCTATACAATGATTTTTACTAAAGAACCTTAATATCTTTAGCAATATACTGTTACTGAGATAAATTTATATTTCTAGTTTAAAAGAAATATTTGCTCCTTATCATATTTCTCTGTTGTGTATACTCCTTGCAAAACCACGTGTAAAAGCCACCTTCCTGTTTTTCTTTAGTTCTCACTGCAGAAATCAGACATCCCAAGAAGAGAGTTCCATTCAGGGAAAGGAAACTCACACCTTTCCTAAGTAGAAGAAGATAGGTGTGCTTTCCCTAAAAATCCATTTATTAAGAAAGCTCAAATTAGAATTTTCCTCATTGGGAAGACCACTCTGGGATAAAGGTGGCATACAAATGCAACAAATAAAATAACAATGGCTGGTAACCAAATAGTTCTGTACGAACTTCCAACAAAAGCAACAGTTAGGGCTTACTTTGCAAAAAGGAACCTATTAAACCAGTAGCTTAGATTCCCAAACTACATTACATGTTGAAATGAAACATGCCTCCCAACCACTGCCAGAATCATGAATCTTGTATAGCATACTATAATCCACTTCCAGGTTCCTGATTCCATGAAACTTACAAAGAGTTCATAAAAGAACATTAAACAAGAGGACCTGTTCTATTCATTTTTTGAATGTAACCCCTTGGAGCAATATTGATAATTTTCCAATTTATTTCAGCAACCAATGGTATATACTGTAGCTAATTATATCTCCTATTTCAAATAGACCATAAATATTAGTGAAAATTTATCTAATTATAGCACATGTTATTGTTATAAGTGAATAACATTTCCAAAGAAGAAAGTTCTGAAAAGGACTACCAAACTCAATTACTCTGTAAAATATGCTGTTACATCAACCTTAGGACAGGAGAAAAATCTTTGTAAGTTTTATCGAACTCAACAGCTATACTTACATATATATATGTTTGTGTGTCAAACACTGGTCTTCAGGATGCCAGATTAAAATGGGGTGGGGGAAGCTATTTTTTGTAATACTGTACAACATGGTTTATACAAGACCATAATGGTTTATATTTTGATCAGCCATTTTAATCTGAAAGGAAGGCATTTCATTTGTGTCAAGTAAGCCTCACTGTAACAGAAGCAGTTCACAAAGAACCATCACATGATAACGACACATCGAACTAAATTAAGGCTAATCTAAATTGACCAAATATAGACATTTCAAAATATATTTGTAAAGACTATGTAATTTTAAAAAAAATGTCCTTCTAGCATACAAACCAAGAATATCTTAAAGCTAAAATATCCCTGAAAATAAGACAATGGAAAATTAAATAAACCATGCAACCCCAAATACTCTCAGTTCTAAATGTTTAATACTCAAATAATTCTATGCAGTCTGGAGGAGACAAAGCAACTTGAATGCAAAACGAAGCCAATGACCTTCTTGCAGAGCAGTAAATTTAAATGGAAAGGAATGATTCTTTTGCTTGTACAGTGGCTTCTGTATCTGATAACAAAAATGAAAGTGTCTGCATATGAATCTAATCAACAAAATTATGGTAATAGATATGAAACAACAAAGAGAAAGCCATTATATTCACAATAGGCTTTCTTCCAAGCAAAAACTTTTAATCTTTTCATAAAAAATTGAATTCTACATAAATATAGCGTCATAACTTGTAAGAAAATCCTTATCTATTGTATACACATATGGAATTGTAAAACCAGTTAAGATAAACTTGCAGACTTTATTAACATTGCTTACTAGGGTCATATTCTGCATCTCAAAGAAAAAGGCTTCAGTGTAATTTAAAAGAGAGAATGCTTTATTTAAAAGATCAATGAGATTTAAATCTTTATACAGATCTATCACATATGAATATTACAATATCAGGAAAACAATACAGTAGTGATCAATACAGCAAGGCTGAGCAAAAAAAAACATGTAAAAGAGAAACATAATTCAAATTTGGATTGCTTAAACCAGCTCTGTACTAATTTGTAAACCAGAGGTAGCACAGATGTTTTCAATTAAAGAATCCTTCTTTTTACTGATATAATCCATACTGATTGGCTAGTAGCAGACATTGTTTAATTTTCCAGAGAAAATTTGTGGTAAAAAAAAATGTGAAAACGATTGCTTACTAATACTCTTACTATATAAAACCTCTTCAGCTAAAATGCATTCGCACAGTCTCTTTTTCCTTTTGTGGTCCACGGCCAGGAAAAATTCTTCATACTGAACTATAACTTCATACTTAAAACAGTATAATCACCATTTGGATTTATGTTTCAAAGAAGCAGCCAGGGCCATTCCAGACAGGCCCTATATCCCAGGATCTGATCACAGGTTTCCTGTTTATCCCAGATTATCCAGTAGTATGGACTCATATAATCCAGTATAAAACAGAAAACCTGGGATCAGATCCTGGGATATAGGGCCTGCCTAGAAGGGCCCTCAGTTACCTCAATTTAATGAAAGACAGCAGTATTTCTCACCAGAAAAGAAATCATTTTTACTTAGGTTCGTCATTGTTGAAAATCGTTGAATGTGATTTTCCTGCTTCTTGGCAGGGGGTTGGACTGGATGGTCCATGAGGTCTCTTCCAAATCTATGATTCTAACTATGAAATACAGGATTTTACTTCCTATCATTTTTTATTAGAGAAACAGCATTTTTATTAATGTCTTACTTTCAAATCCAAAACATGGATACACTACAGAACTAAGACTTACCCTAGCAGAATACAAATAAAGTGCAATTACACCTTTCTTACAAGAAGGCAGCACAGGTCACCTTTAGGCAGCTGAACCCTGCTCATTCCCCACAATCAGCAGGAAAAGCAAAATGCAAATATCACCATTAATCGTGGTTTTGCTGGTCACCCTTCTGTCCCTCATCGATCCAGCTATAAATTACCTCCATTTCCATCATGCCTGCTTTGGCGTTTCCAGGTTTTTATAAAATCTATAGAATAAAACCTACCAATTGTGACAAAGCAACTCCATCCAGAAATAAGGCAGATGTTTTTTTTAAAATAAAAACATATTCCTACCGAGACAGTAACAAAGGAGAAAATTACATAGTCAAGGGGGGGGGGGGATTATTTCTCTCACACATAGACATCGTTATATCCTGATCAGGCTGTAGCAGGGGTGGTGGTGGTGGTTTTTTCAGGTTACAAAAACGTGGTTTATTCATGAATTTTAACTGGTTAACCAAATCCCCATACTAAGACTATGAGAAGCAAAAATTAAATTGATTTTATTAAATCTACATAAAATATAGACTGAACCATACTATTTAAATTATTTTGTGTTATGGAACTCTTTATGATGCTGAGCCAAAAAAAGAAAAAAAAGAAAAGAAATTCCCCCCCCCCCCCCGCCCCTGATTTTTTTTTTCTGGCTACAATGCTGCTCCTAATGAATACAATGTCATGGTGGGAGGAAGGAAATTGTTATTTCTCTCTCCCACGCAGGTGATTCTACCAATAACAGAGGAATCTCACTGAGAAGACTGAGGGCCCTTCCAAACAGCCATATAATCCAGAATATCAAATCAGAAAATCCCACAATGTCTGCTTTGAATTGAGTTCTCTGAGTCTACACTTTGAACTGCCATACAGCCCAGTTCGAAGGAGAAAATGTGGGATTTTTTTCAGCTGTGTGGATGGGGCCTAAGGGTCCTATATCCCTGGATCTGATCCCTGATTTTCTGTTTATCCCAGATTATCTGGCAGTGTAGACTGATATAATCCAGTTTGAAGTAGAAAACCTGGGATCAGATCCTGGGATAGAGGGCCTGCCTGGAAGGGCCCTTAGAAGGCATATTTGTTTCTCTCACACTCCTTGGCTTCTCTTCCACTCCTAATGAGGAAAAAAGAAAAGAAAAGAATGAGCACCCCTTCTTTCTTTCACACAGACACTCTTCTTTCTATCCATACTTATGAGAGAGGGGGAAAAACAAACCATGATATGGTATGGTAAACTTACAAGCAGATGGGAATCGGGAGCATTGAGGAGAGACATAGAAAGGAGAGACAGAGGGGGAAAGGAAGAAGGAAAGGAAGGAAGGACGGGGGAGGCAGCCTGCCTGCCTGGAGGCGGCTCCTTCCCGGCCTGCCTCTTTGCCTGGGGCCCTGCGCGGCCTCGCTCTCTCTCCCGCCGCCTCGCCTTGCCTCGCCCAGCGGGGGCCACCACCATCCCCGGGGGGCCTCCTCGGCCTCCTTCCTCTTTCGCCCACATTGAAACTCAGCCACCAACAGCGCCGTCGTCGTTGTCTTCTTCTTCTTCGCCGCCGCCACAGGGCCTTCTTCTCTTGCCTCCTCACCACCCCTCCTCCTCCTCCTTCCCCTCCTGTTCCTCTTCCTTTATGGTATCCCTCCGCCGAGGCCTTCTCTGGGAGTGAGTGGGGAGAGAGAGATTCCTCATCCAGCCCTGATACCCGCCCACCCCGGCGCCTTATTCTCCTTCTTTGTGTGTGTGTGTGTGTGTGTTTTCTCCACATTTTCAATTTTTTTAGGGCGAATCTCAAATCAGGCCTTCGCAGGAGGGGTGCGCGCGCGCTTGTGTAATTGTGTGCGCGCGCACACCCGGGGGTGGGGGAAGGAAAGGAGGAGGAGGGCCGGGACTCTTTGTCTCGGCGGAGGGATCTCGCGCGCGCTCCCTCTCTCTCTCTCTCTCTCTCGCGCTCTCGCTCTGGCTCGCGCCGAGGCTGTGGCTGAAGCAGCAGCAGCAGCGGCGGCTAAGGCGAGTTGTTGTTCCTCCTCCTCGCATGGTGTCTCGCGGGCGGCGGTGACAAGCCTTTGCCGAGGCCTCCGCTCGGCCTCTCTCCTTCTTTTCAGCCATGGCTGGGGAAGGAGGCGGACAACACTCGGCGGAGCTGCGAGCGGGTGAGTCAGTGGGTCGGTTGGTGGGCGAAGGGGAGGGAGGCCTCGTCCTCTTCTTCTTCTTCTTCCCTGATTCCTTCTCTTCCTTCTCCTTCTTCCCACAGAGCTCTATTTCCTCATCGCGCGCTTTCTGGAGAGCGGACCCTGCCAGGAAGCGGCTCAGGTGAGGCCGGGCCTATTCCGGCGCGTGCGCGTGCGTTGGGGAGGGCCCGCTCTGTCCCCCCCTGGTAACCCCTTCTCTATGATTCCAGGTCCTGATCCGAGAAGTGGCCGAGCGGGAGGTGAGTGCAGCCTCGGCGGGCGGAGGCGCCTTTCCCTCAGCCCCGGCGGAGGCCTCGCCTCTCCCCCTCCCTCTCCCTTCTCGGCGGGAGGGGAGGGGGCTCTCCCAGGGAGGGGGCGCCCCGGCTCACGCGTCTCCCCTCTTCTTCCCCCCCAAACCCTTCCTCCCTTGCCTCCCTCAGCTCCTGCCTAGGCGCACCGACTGGACCGGGAAGGAGCACCCGCGCAGCTACCAGAGCCTCGTAAGTCAGCCAAGGAGCGAGCAGGCCTTTCTGTGAGGCAAAGTTTGAGAGCAGCCCTTTACAAAATTGAATTTCCCGCAATTTTTTTGTAGCAGCTAAAGGGGGAAAGAAGGGAAAAAAAATCTTTTGGGATCGCCCCTCTTTCTTTCCCCTTTGAATATGGTTAGGAAAGAGCCCACGCTTTCCCCCAGACTCCTTTCTGGTGAGACCCTGGAGTTGGGAGGAGATAATAATAACAGTACTAATAACCATTCCTGCTAATGCGAGAGCCCGAGAGTGGCTGGGCTAGAAATAAAGGTACGTCATGGATGTTGTGCAGGCAGAGCAGGAGGGAGGAGCCAAGCCAGGCAAAGCAAGGCTGCTGGAGAGAGGCGGGCCTGGGAGGAGGAGGAGGAGGAGGGGGCGCTCTCGCCTCGCCACAAACACAATGGGCAGAAGCAGAGCCATCCGCGGCTAAACCCAGCCGCCTTTGAGACCCCCCCAAAACGGACCACTTCCTGAAATCTGTGCGGGCCCACCTCCCCATTCAAAACAAGACAGAAGGTAAAAGCTGGCCTCGATGGTAGACAGACTTTTTTGTTTTTGTTTTTTCAATTCTGGTAGAGTTTCAGAGAAGAACCTTAGGATGAGAACTTTGTGCTGTCTTTTGGAATAAGAATTATATATTTATATGTAGATTGCTTTGGTGCAGACCCCTCCTCCCCCTTTTCCTGTCCTTTACATGAGGATTCACCTTGTCAGTTGGTGGTCTTTGTATTTGATGGTTCCGTATTCTTTACAAGGATTTTGTTTGAAATGCCATATATACAGTAGACCGTAAGGACCCTTCCACACAGCCATATAACCCAGAATATCAAGGCAGAAAATCCCACAATATCTGCTTTGGACTGGGTTATCTGAGGGCCCTTCCACACAGCCTTATACCTCAGAATATCAAGGCAGAAAATCCCACAATATTTGCTTTGAACTCGGTTATCTGAGTCCATACTCAGATAATGTGGGATTTTCTGCCTTGATATTCTGGGATAGAGGGCTGTGTGAAAGGGCCCTGAGTCTACACTGCCTTATATCCCAGTTCAAAGCAGATAATGTGGGATTTTATTCAGGGACCTAAGTCTACTGATTTTGGATTATGTGGTTCTTGTTGATAATTGGTTTTAATGTTTTTATGCTTTTTCACCTTACGTTTTAATGTAGCGTTATTTTATTATATGTGTTTTATGGCATTGAATTGTTGCCCCCAGTCTATTTGCCCCCAAGGAACTGGAGCACCAATGCTTCTGTTCAATGTTTGATGTTTTGTCTTTTGTCTTAATATAACAGGTTGTGGATTTTTAGTTGTTAAGGCATAATTCGTTTGTATATGTTTGGTTGTCAATTTCTGTTATGGGTGTATTGTTGTGTTCGGGCATTGAATGTTTGCGTTTTATGTTTGGAATCTGCCCTTAGTGCATCCGGGGAGATAGGGTGGAACATAAATAAAGCATGATGATGATGAAGATTATTATTATTATTATTACCACTTGTAAGAATGCTGAGTCCTCTTCGGGGTGAGAAGGGTGGTATATAAATACAGTAAATAAATAATAAGTCAGACATGGGCAAACTTTGGCTCTCCAGGTGTTTTGGATTTCAACTCCCACAATTCCTAACGCAATTAGAAATTGTGGGAATTGAAGTCCAAAACATCTGCAAGGCCAAAGTTTGCCCATGCATGCTCGAAGTTAACCGGCACCCATGGGGATTGGTAGATGACAGTTACATTATTATTATTATTATTATTATTATTATTATTATTATTTATATGCTGCCTTTTCTCTTGTAACAGAGACTCAATGTGGCAGTGTATTTTTCTGGTTACTTGAGAGTTACTATTAAAAATATGTCTTAACACTATTATACCCCTTACTGTACAATACTATACACCAGGCATGGGCAAACTTCATCTCTGCAGGTGTTTTGGACTTCAACTCCCATAATTCCTAACACGGTTAGGCACCATGGGGATTGGTAGATTCCAGTTACATTATTATTATTATTATTATTATTATTATTATTATTATTGATATGCTTCCCTTTCTCTCTTAACAGACTCAAAGTGGCATTGTATTTTCCTGGTTGCTTGAGAATTACTATTAAAAATATGCGTTAACACTATCATACCCCGTACTATATCATACTATAAATTCAGTATTGCCTTGATATTCGTATTGGAAGTACTATACAGGCAGTCCCCAAGGTTTTTTTTTTTTTTTAAATCGTATCAGAAGTGACTTGGGAATATATTGCTTCTGGTGTGAGAGAAATAGCTGTCTGCAAGGATGTTGCCCAGGGGATGCCCGGATGTGTTACCAGCCTGTGGGAGGCTTCTCTCATGCCATGCATGGGAAGCTGGAGCTGGCAGATGGGAGCTCACCCCGTCTTGCAATGACCTTTGGGTCTTCAGGACAGCAGTTTAGCCAGCACAAGGGTTTAACTCATTGTGCCACTGCAGCTCCTAGTCCCTAAGTTGTAAACATCTGACTTAAAAACAGCTCACAGTTAAGAACGGGGTGAGACAACAAGAAGTGAGAGAAATCCATCTCCAGGATGGGAAATTCACTTTATCACGGGGGAAAAGTGTCTCTACTGGAGATTTATCACCAATCCTTGTCTTCACAACAAGCCAACTTTTTCAAAATCCAATTATCACAGGGACAGAAGGTGAGGTGAAATCTTTTGAACCAGAGCTACAGACAGCAAAACAAACACCATAGATGATTTAAGCCCTTCCCTATGCCATCCAAAGTTTGTGTGTGTGCGTGTATGACGAGTTGCACTTTAAAATGTACCAGTTCTGATTTACATACAAATTCAACTTGAAAAGCATACCTACAGAACCAATCTGCTCGTAAATTGAGGACTGTCTGTAATTAAAAGTGTAACAGGTTTGTGAATGCAGTATGCAATTTTAGTTAAATGGCGGCCAATACACTTGCTGGTTGTTTGAGAGTTTTGGTTAATAGTGTACTATGTATTGGAAATAAATTTATGTGTGAAAAATGAAATCTCATAGATGGCTTCCAAGACTGTCAAATCATAATAAGTGTTTTTGGGACCCTTTTGTGAGTTTTGGCCCACTCTGTATATGGCCATGGCTGCAGGTGTCCTGCATATGTGTGTCTATATGATTCACCTTGGTAGTTTTTATATTTTATTGTTCATATGTTTTACAAGAACATATACACTTATACTTGTTTAAAATACTGTATATACTTGTGCTTAAGTCGAAGGTGGCTTTTGGGGCCAAAATTATGGGGCCCATAGGTAAGTTTGTCAGTGAGGGGAAAGTGACAGTGTTGCCTCAGTGGCGACTGCTTATCCAGGGATTCCAAAAGTTCAGAAGAAGCACTGAGGCAGAATGTAGAAGGAGGTCAGTGCATTTAAGTTCTCCTGGGATGGACTAACCTTTTAATGCTCTACCCAGAGATGGTTCCTTTTTTGATGAGAGTTAAGCTGTAGTGCTTCTACTGATAAATCCACCAAGTTTTTTTTTTATTATTTGACTGTGATTTCTAGACTTATACATGAGTACATATAGTGTTTGGGAGACTGAAGATGAGACCATCTTTCATTTATGTGTACTTCAGCACTCAACTACCTATACATATTTTGTAGAACACAGGCCAAGAAATAGAGATTGGGAGGAATTTATATTACTCAGATAGCACAAGGCAAGAGTTAAATGTATTCTTCTCCCCAGTAAGAGAAAAAGATCCAGTTCCTCCACTATCCTTAGGACTAACCAGGTTTCTGAAACAGGTTTTTATGGTTCAGAGTTGATAGGAAGGACAGAAAGGCAAATAAGCATTTTGCTCCCCTGTTTTGGCAGTGGAAAATTTCTCTGGCTCAAAAGCTTCCAGGCTTTTGCTATAAACTGATTTTTGTGTGTGTGTGTCTTGTTTTGTGGAGGTTTCTTTTTGAGTCCGTATTCTGCCTTTCCTCTTCAGTGGAAGAAAGTGGGCTCAGTGCAGTGACTCACACAGAGACAGCGAGCTGCCACCACTGAGGACAGATCTGTGTTTCTTTTTATTTCACATCCAGTCTGTACATGCATCAAAACTACTTTCTGAAAATGGGACTACTTAGTGAAGGCAGATTGCTGGAAAACTAGAGCAGTGAATCATGCAGAAATATGTTAGTCTCTGAGGACATACTTTTAATTTAGTGACACAGTAGTTAGTATTTGTGCCCAGATTGCATATTGTTGATCCTGAATATCTTTAGTGTGGTAATGGTAGAAATCTGTATCCCATATTTGGAGCTGTTTGTATATTATTTATTTCTACTCAAAGTGCTGATTGGTGGATGGTCTGCAAGTTATTGGCTATCATTCCTATTTTTATAGTCAGTAGGGAAAACAGCCAGTCTCTACCATCAGGTAGGAAAAGAAGTGCTGTGTTAACTTACACTGATTTAAGTATATATCCAAGGGCATCTATGTTGATCCAGTAACAAAATACACAATACATATTTAGATTATACTGATATTAGGCTAACCAAACGGTGTAATATACATTATGCAAGCTTCCAAAGGTGGAGATGTTAAAAATCATTTTAATGGGCACAGGAGAGTTACCTAGCTGCATCTTTCTTGGGATGTTGAAGATGCAGTTAAAGATGCTCTCAGCTTTTGGTGCAGATATAGACCACACCCCTTGTTGGTCATGAAACAGCTAGGGACACAAACAGCCTGAGCAAAGAAATAATGTCCAGTGGTAGAAACAAGGAGACTTCCTTTGAGATCTGAGGTATAATTTGAATTTTCATATCCTTAGCACATTTTAACTTTTAGAGCAATTAAAACTTTTTCACCTGTGTCAGTATTGAGGCTTCTTGAGATACTAATGTTTTGCTTTCAGAGTGACTTGCACAGAACAGGTATAGTCTAGATCTCAAAGAACGTTTCTTTATTTCTACCTCTGAAAATACTATTTTATCCCAATTGAAATCTTGGGTGT